TGGAGGAATTTCATCCCATCTTTGCAAAATATAAGGTATGTAGAGAGGTTTCCCAAGTAATTCATATTAATAAATATGGGGTATGAATCTAGAAGAGAGGCAGAGAAGATGCATCTGAGATGCAGGACGCTCAGCTTGCCCAACAGAAGCTCTCACATAGCAACGCCCATGAGTGATGCTTTCTACCATCTCCAGTTTACTGCTGGGGGAATTCTGTGCCACTCGCAATGCAGAATTTGTGCAGAAATTAATGTTGTGCGAACAGAATTTCCTTCCTCCCCCCAAAATGGGCTGCAGAGCTGCTGGCCGCCTCTAGGAGCCCCTGGACCCAGCAGGGCCAAGCTCACAAATAGAAGACCAGGAGGAGTGGGAGGGAGCTGGAGGCCTCGCGGTTCTCAGCATGCTCTTAAGGAAGGAGGTGTGCAGGAAACTCCATACAAGTCTGGAACCCAGCATCAGGCTGTTTCTCGCTCTGGATCCCTGGGCTCTGAGGGGTAGGAGGTGCAGCTGTCTGGCTTGGGGGGAGCCCCACAGTGGGGCTCTGGGAGAAGAGGTGTGGGTATCTGGGCTAGTGGGGGCCCTGTGGTTGGGCTCTGGGGGAGAGGAGGGGGCAGAGAAACAGGATACTGGATTGTCGTATGGGTTTCTTTTACTTTCTACTTCTGTGTGTGTCTGTATTGTTACAGACATACTTGCTGACAGATATTTTGAAATTACCAAAATAATTGAAACTGGTATGATTATACAGTGTTATTTTGACAAATAAATATGCAGAATTTTTAGGATTATAAAATATTGTGTTCAGAATTTTTAATTTTTTGGCACTTGTAGTGAGGCGGGATGGCCTCCCAAGGACCCGGATTAGGAGGACCCCCGCACTGAGGCCTGGTGGGCAGACCAAGGGCCTAGTTGCTCCTCCCCTAGGAAGTGGGTGGGAGGAGCAGGAAGTATAAAAGGTGGCCCAGAAAGCTTAGTAGGGAGGCAACCACCAGAGCGACCAGATGCCTCCTGAGCTGGGACACGGTGGAGGGTGCCAAGGGAGCAGGAGACTGGCCGGGGCCACCAGGGGCGCTAGCTGATTCAGACCTGGAGGAAGCAGACAACTGGCCCGGACCACCCAGAGCGCTTGCTTGTGGTCCCAGAAGCCGCCGTCAACCACGACTCCTCCTCATAGGAGCAGGGTATACTAAGAAGGGGAATATGGAAGCGGCCCAGGGGTAGCAGATGCCTGTCTAGCTGCAATGCTGACAGAGGGTGAGTCAGCGTGTTGCGGTGTGGAGCCCTGCTGACCCAGTGACAAAGCGCTTTGTCACTGTCAGGGCCCTGGGCCGGGACGCAGTGGAGCGGGTGGGCTTGCGACCCCCCTGCCACCCCAACCTTGCTGCCCCGCCTTAATTGAGGGCCTGGGCTAACTGACTGTTTGTTTCTCGCCCAGCCTGAGCACAGGCCTGGGCCCCAGCTACGAGCGGAGGCCACTTCATTCCCCATGACGGCAGAGGTATCAGTAATGTAGTGAGGCTGGGTGGCCTCCCGAGGACCCAAAGTGGGAGGACCCCCACACTGAGCCACTACACTGCAGAAACAACAAGAAGTCTGGTGGCACTGCACTGCAGAATTCGCCTGGAGTACCAGTTGGCTGTGAGATTCCATCCCATCCTGGCAGAGGATAACCTGGCTTCAGTTACTTACACCTTTGTCGCCTCTTGGCTGGATTGCAACAAGTGATATACCTGTGGAAAGAGCCTTCAGCTCTTACTCCAGCTGGTGCAGAATGCTGGAGTTTCTCCTCAGAAGCACTGTCCACTGTGAACACATCACACCTCTCCTCTGCTCCCTACATTGGCCCCCCACAGAACATCAAATCCCATTCAAGGTCTCAGTCCTTACCTTCAATATGCTCAACTGCCTTCCAGTAGGGAAGATACTACGTAATTAATTGGATTAATTTCCATGATGAAGACCCTTGTTCCAAAGCTCCTCAAGGCTTGAGCATAACCTTCGCCAACATCACCATAGCCTGCCTGTGATGGGGTGCTCTTGCCACACCAGCCCCAAAAGGGCAAAGGAATCATAGAATCATAGAATATCAGGGTTGGAAGGGACCTCAGGAGGTCATCTAGTCCAACTTCCTGCTCAAAGTAGGACCAATTCCCAGCTAAATCATCCCAGCCAGGGCTTTGTCAAGCCTGACCTTAAAAACCTCTAAGGAAGCTAAGTAAGGAACCAATTAGTGTGATGGGCCACACGTGAGGGTATTAGGCTGGAGGAGCAACCCCTGATTGGAGGATGAAGTTCAGCTGAGTGGTTGTGACCTGGGCTAGTATACAGTCAGGAAGCTGGCAACAGAAAGGGTGGCAGTGAGAAAGTCTGCAGCCACCATCTGTGTATTAGAGAGGGAAGGAGGGAAGCCAGGGAATGAATCGGATCCCAGGAGCCTGGCCCTGAGGGAAGAGCATACCCAGAAGAGAGAAGGATGGAGAAGAAAGCTTGTGGGAGACAGAGGAGAAAGCAGCCCAGGGAGACAGCAGCAAGGCTGGGGACTGATTAGACTATGGCTGCATGTTGTAGAGTCCCTGGGTGTTGCTAGGGTAAAAATCTTCTGACAATTGTGCCCACGGTGCGCGCACACCTAATTGGAATCGATATGAGCAAGCACTCGAAGAAGAACAGAGCTTTCTTGGAGGCCAGCCGAAGCCTGTAGAATAAACACCCACAGGAATTAAGGACCATCTCAAAGCTCACAACCTTCTGCTCAAAGTGCAAGGCACAAAGTGCATTTCTATGACATTGTGTGATGGGGTTCACTCATCCCGCACTGGGGTTAACTTCTCATTGTGGGCTAAAGAAACCATGCCCCCAAGTCCCTACTGGGCATGCTCCAAGTGCAGCACTAAGTATAAAAGGGAGCAGCTCAGTCTGGGCTCATTGCCAAGGAGGAAGGACATATCTCTCAAGCTCCAGTCTGGGAGCAGCTGGAGCCCCTGACCGTGGAAGCCAGAGGTGCCAAGACATAGACAGATGCCTGGATACCTATGAACGCCCAAGAGGGATCAGAGTCACTGGGAACTGCATGCTCCGAGAAGCCCTGACTACTGCTCCAAGAGAAATTGAAGGAAGTATCCCAGGACTAGCTGTAGTCCTGTGGGAAGTCGGCATGTTTCAGTTGGAGCCCCACTGACTCAGTGACCCTGTTAGGG